TCTCTGGTTCTGGCTGCACTGACAACAGGTTTGGAGTGGCCAAAGCAGAGCTCAAGAACAAGACACAACTGCTGACTGAAGTGCAGGGGCTGTCAGAGACACAAAGCTGCCAAAGTGTTCCATGTCTTGTGCTCCTGAGCAGCAGCTGCTGGTGCTGGTCCCTGCCTGGTGCCACTGCTTGGCTCAGTCCCCTCTCACCTCACACCCAGCTCCTTGAAGTCAGTGTGCGAGGAGAGGACAGAGGGTTGTATTTTTGCAGAGTGTGAGCCCTGAGGAGAGGGAAGGAGAGAGGTGGAAGGAGGGATTTAATTGCATTAAACACTGTGGCTACCAAGCAGCTGTTCCACGAGGCTTAGGAAGGGTCTGCACACATGGGCTGCCAGGGCACCAGCAGCAAGGCTCCGGGAGGAAACAGAGTGGGTTATAGTGTAACTGGTTGGTTAAGGACTCAATCTTCATTAATTCATGAAACAAACCTCTACAGCACTACAGGTGCTGGAGTTTCCTCTAGGTGTGTCTTCTGCTGTGGGTAAACAGCACCTTTTCCTCCTCCTCAGCCCGTGGAGGCATTTACTGATCCTTCTGATGCTCCTCAGCCTCCCACATTGCACCAGGTCCCACCAGCCCACCCTCCAAGCTGATGTTTGCTTTGTTTCTAACATCCTAATGAACCTTTTGTGCTTCTCACGGGGAGAGCCATTCACCACCCTTTAACTGAGCTCATTCTCTCCTGGCAGACCTTGAGAACTTCAAAACCAGAACGAGAAGCACAGTGTCCGTGCGCCAGGGCCAGGGCATGGTGCTGCTGTGTGGACCACCACCCCATTCTGGAGGTAAAGCACTTTTCCTTCTCTTGATCTCAGCATTTGGCAGCAATTTGTGAGGTTTTCATTCCTAGGGAATGTTCCAGGATGTTTAAAGTGGGCACCCTAAAGGAGAGGGCTGGGGCAGTGCCAGCATGTCTGGATGGGTCGTGCTGGGTGGTCCTGTTGACTGGGAGAGTTCCAGTTGGGTGTAAATGCAGAGAAAGAGCATTTTATTGCATGCAAGTGTACACTTCAGAGATGAACTGATGGAAACTAGAACAATGTGTGCATGTAAGTAAGACATGGCCAAGATCTTGTGCAACCTATAGAAGCTTTTCTGTATGTGGCTTTGGGTGAGTCTCCTACTAAAAGGTTGAAGATCAATGACTACTGAGCTGCTTTTGTGCACCATCATTATAATCTCTTCTTTTCAAACTCCTTGGCACTGTTTCTTGTCCCCTGGACACTCAGGATCCAGGGAGAAATGTTTAGAAAACACAAAGCAATGCATTCACTTCAGCACAAACTGATTTCACATGTGCCAGGCCAGTGTTTGTGGGTGACTCCTGAACATGTGTGTCCTCATTCACAGGGCTAAAGTGTTAAAGGGGAGTCAGTGCCCATCAGCTCCTGCTGGATGCTGTCTCAGGCCTGGCTGGTGTGTGCCTGACTCAGTGCTGCTGTGCCACTGAGCACCAGGATCAGCAACCAGCTGTCTTGGCTGGCTCCTCTGTCAGAACCAGGGGTCATCTTCCAGGGATCCCTGGCCCTTTTAAAGCAATTTGTGCTCCTGCTTTGAAACCTGTCCGTGCTCATCAGCTGGATGGAAATTGCCTGGTGGACCTGTTAGGCTGTGCTTATTGCTCAGATAGGAGGAGACAGAGGCTTAAGCAGCTCCTTCACTCCCATCTGACCAGCTGCAAACACCTACCCGTGGAATTTGTTCAGCTGAGAGCCTTTTCCAGCTAGCAGAACAAAACCCACCAGCACCACCCACTCCTGGGGGCATCGATGGCCACGTCCCATTCCTCCCTGGGCAGGGAGGCTGCTGTCTCCTAGAGGGACACAGGGATTGCATCAACAACAAGGCAGGAATCAGACACATTTGTCTTTGTCTCCTCAGCAAAGCCTCATTCTCAGATTGCTGAGAGTTTTCTGTTGTGCCACAAGAAATCTTTGCAGCGTGAGCACCTCGTGTGCAGCCCTGGCAGCTGCTGCTGCTGCTGGAAGCAGTGAGAAGGCAACTGTTGTTCAGGTGATTCAGGAGAAGGTTTTGGCCTGGGTTTATTTGCTGATGACATGCATAAAAATTCCAGAAAGGTGCTGGTGTCCTGTCCAGTTTGGATGCAGCATGTGGGAAAGAGCATCTTGTGCTGGCAGGAGGTGAGTGCATTTCTGGTGCCCACAGAGGCTGAAAACTCGAGGGTAATTTTTTCTCGATCATCTGGGTGAGAGATGACTTCCCACATGACCACCATCCATGACCTGCTCTACTGCAGCTAGAAAATTAGCTTAATTGTAGCCAGAGCCACAATTAGTCTCAACTGATGCTGTGACAGCTTTGTAACTGAGCTGGGCTGGAGCTGCTCCAGTGGCTGTTTGCTGGTTCACATAGAAGGTGTTTAATGGGAAGCCGAAATGGGTTCAGTTAGTTGAGACCAAGCCCCTTGTTCTGCAGGAGTTAATCTGCTCTGTGGCAATATTTTCCTTCACTTTTCCTCCCTGCTAAGGTTGGAAACAAAGATGAGTTGTAAGAGTCTCAACTGCAGAGTTAATGCTTTGGGGTCACCGCGTTCCCCTCCGTGCACATCTCCGCGGCAATCGAAGCTCTTTGCTCTGCAGCACTCACTGCACAATTCCCACAGCCTTCTCCTGTTCCAGCTCAGGGCACGGGGAGGCTCAGAGGAGGATATTGGGTGTCACTGGAAGGAGCTGCTCATCGGAAAACCACCGTGTTCCATGGGCAGGCTCATCCCCAGGGGCCCCTGCAGTGTTTGCAAAGCAGAGCTGTACAGATCAGTTCCTTCCAGTCCCCCAATAGAACATTGCAAGTGTTTAATGTTGTAGTGCAACAGGAAAAAAACATTCAGCTGAGGAGTGAAAAATAATCCAGTGGCATTAAGAGAGAGAAAATGCAGTTACTTAGTTTGGAATTTGAGTAGGGCAGTGAATCTGACTTCATCATCCTTGCAAGAAGTGACATTAATGACCGATGCTGAAGTGTAGGACTGGCTGGGGAGAAAAAAAATGCACTTTTTGGTCATTATTCTTTTTTACTTTAGGTTCTCATCTGCATTGAAAATGAAACCTTAAAAAAAAAGTAATTTAAGATGCTAAACTATTCAGTCTGAGAATTGGTGTTGCTTTGATGCTGAGGGTGTTCACTGGAATAGCAGAAGCCTGGAAGAAATATCCCAGCAAGGTGCTGAGCACAGAGCTGAGGATATCAATGCTCTCAGGCACATGGTGTGGTTGTTGGGGATGTCCTGAGCAGGGCCAAGGGTTGGACTCGATGATCCTAGAGGGAATGGCCTTGAGCTGAGCCAGGGCAGAGTCAAATTGGATGTTAGGAAAATGTTTTCCTTGTTGTTGTGTTGAGGCCCTGGGATATTGCCCAGGGAGGTGGTGCAGTCACCATCCCTGGAGGTGTTTCAGAGGTGTCTGATGTGGTGCTGGAGGATATGGGTTGGGGTTCAGGGGTTACAGCAGTGACAGGTTAATGGTTGGACTCAATGACCTTAGAGGTCTCCTCCAGCCTTGATGGTTCTGTGATTGTCTTGATCTAAAAAATTCTGGATTTTACTAATTAGGATGTCAGTCTCCATCCAGACCTTTAACCTTTCAACTGAAGTTCACCAGAATACTTCGCTACTTAGGAATCTCCATTTTTAAGGAGCTGGCAGCTAAAACTGGAGCTCTGTTGGCCTACTAACATTAGTTGTTGAGGGTTTCTTCTTTTTTCTTCTTAATGATGCCCAATAAAGAGCTTCCTACTGCTCAATGTTACAAGAAATTCATCCTGAAAATTAGCCCAAATGATTAACAGCTATTTTCAGCCTCATCAAACAGGCTGTGTGCAGCTTGCACATAACAATTTGGGCATGGATTGTCCCAGTTTTTGCCCCGATATGAGCTGGA